AAGATACAGATAACTCCCTAAGAACAAGAGAGCATGGAGCAAAACTTCCCATTCCCACGTTTTTGCCGCTCTACTTGTCCACTTACATTCAGCAATGGGCATAAGTCCATGTTTAAAAACTGGATGAAACATTTTCGAGCAAGATTCCAAACACCATCCATGATAGGAATGGGAGTAAAAGCATCTACAGTTATCTTCCAAGGCACTGTTTTGAGTAGAAACACACACACAGCAATCGGTGTCTGTCTGCACACTCTGGAATGCACGGCAGTCATTTAGTTACTATTCATAGAAGACACACAATTCAAAGAGCACATTGTATCTCCAGGGTAAGGCTGTTCTTTTGAAAAATATTAACAATTCACCTGGGGAAAGGGGATTTAGGGCATTTTGGCAGTGGTGTTTTTAAATTTAGAAAAGATAAAAGATGATTATAAACTTAGTTTCCTTAGATTAAGCAATATTAGGGGTGAGAAAAGAGCTCAAGTGGCAAATTTTTGTTTGTTTGTTTAGTTCATTAGTTTTGGTCTAGAAATACATACTTTGATTACTGACTCTAACTGCTGCTGAGACCTTGTGTTCTCTCGTGCGTATTCTAAATATACACATCCTAATCTTTCCAAGACTTACTCTTAAAAGTGATTAATCTGCTATAATTAAGATGTAACCTTTTCAAAACCTCACCGAAAATAGAAACAGAAGTGCCATCTCATATTTTAAAGAGCCAATCCTTTGAGTTCAGTCATGCAGGAAGGTATTTCCTCTAAAAGGTTATTCTGTTATGCAAATGCTTATCAAACCAGACTTACAAGGAAAATGGAGTTCTCCTTCCTTCTAGACACCATCTGATCCCTGGGAAAATCATGGGGTTGATGCAAACTGAAAACTACGATAAGCTGAATTTTCCAAGTTAGGACTTTCTTAAATCCAGTAAGCTCTTTCATGGAAAATAAACCCTCCACGAAGCCAAATAGGTTATTTTTTGTTTGTTTAAAGCCATTTGTGGTTTCTGCTTAAAAAATGGTATACTGTAAGTTTATCTCCATTCCTTCCAGAAGAAGGAATATAAAACTAAAAGAATAAGAATGGTGTAGGCCAGGCGCAGTGGCTCACGCCTGTAATGCTAGCTCTCTGGGAGGCCGAGGCGGGCTGATTGTTTGAGCTCAGGAGTTCGAAACCAGCCTGAGCAAGAGCGAGACCCCGTCTCTACTAAAAACAGAAAGAAATTAATCGGACAACTAAAAATATATAGAAAAAATTAGCTGGGCATGGTGGCGCGTGCCTGTAGTCCCAGCTACTCAGGAGGCTGAGGCAGGAGGATTGCTTGAGCCCAAGAGTTTGAGGTTGCTGTGAGCTAGGCTGACGCCATGGCACTCTAGCCCGGGCAAAAAGATGAGACTCTGTCTCCAAAAAAAAAAAAAAAAAAAAAAGAATGGTGTAAACTCACAGGAATGATGTAAACAAGAGAGAAGCTATCAGTGGGTAGTGATAGCAACAAATATCTGGAAGAAAAGGAAGCTGTGGAGAGAGCAGCAAAATGGAGAAAGCTAAATACCTAGTGCATGCAGAGAAGCAAGCCAATTCTCACCATGATATACCAGAAAATCCCTGCAACTGGAAGTGGAAGCCTGGGCGAAGCCCTGGGACGGGAAACAGGGGATTGGCCCAAACAGCTTGATTATACTACTCCCCACCCCAGCAGGAGGCTGAAGATGTATTCTGTGGACTTATGCTGGTTCAATTTTCCAAGACTAGGGGGCCCCAGATATGAGAGGGCACAAGGGAGGGCGCTGTACTGAAAGCAGGTGGGTTAATTAAAATATGCACACTGTGTGTCTAGTAACCAAACACCGGCTGCAGGTGGATTTCTTTCTGGAGGCACTGAATGGCCCTAGATAAAAGGCCTACAGATACTGACATCTGGAGAACCCCAAGAAACAGCAGGATCCACGCCTAATGGCCCATACATTAAACAGAGTCAACAGGAGAGGACAGGAAAAGATTGCCCCCCTTCTCATTGGCTTTAAGTGTCTTAAATATGCAGGAGAACCAAAGACCTCTCCAGGAGACCTCAAACAGAGACCAGAAAAGACATAAATAGCAGACAAAGAAGAAACAAAGCAAAGTAAAACAACATGAACAACCAAGCATAAAATACAACATCCCCAGAGATGTAAGAGACATTGCATCTAAGAGATAAGAAAAGGACACTTCAGTGGAAAGCCTGGCAGAGAAAGTGGAGAAAATATCTCACCCAGAAAGCCAAGCAAAAAGCCAAAGAAATGGAAAATACAAGAGAAAGATTAGAGGATCAAACCAGCACTCAAAATCTGAATAACTGAAGTTCCGAAGAGAAAGAATAGAGAAAACAGGAGGGAGGGGTCTGTAGAAAAATCAGAGAAAAAATACAAAAACATCTCCCAGAATGGAAGGGCTTGGCTTTTCTGACCAAAATGGTTCCCCAACTCTCAGCACAAAGAACGAAAAGCAGACATAGATGACACATACCAGTGCACGTGATCCTGAAATATGAGAGGCCGGGGATTAAAAAAATGCTGTTAATTTGCAGCAAGTCCCTTCCTTCCCTCCCCTAAAGGGCCACATATAAAGATGGAGAATACGGATGGCACTGGACTTCCACTGCAACTTTGCAAGCTAAAGACAATATTGACCAATGCCTTCAAATTCTGAGTCAAAATTAATTTTAAAAACTAGAATTCTATATTAAGCTAAACTAGATATCTGGGTGTTAAGAGTTGAATAAAGACATCCAGGCATGCCAGGTCTTCGCAATTTTAGCTCACGTGCACTCTTTCCAAGGAAGCTACTAAAGGTTGTGCCCCATTGAGAAAAGGGCATTAAGAAAGAAAAATGCAGGGGTCTGAGAAACTGGCTGTCAACAGGAGAGAAGTGAAGGGAGGGCTCAGGGTGATGCCAGTGACCTGAGCAGTTCTTCGGGGCATCCAGAAAGCCAGGAGGGGTGTCTCCAGGAGAATGTGGGAATGCTAGATAGCGTGCAACTTAGTATTCGGAGACAGTCAGGTTAGCACACTTTTGGCTGCAAGTTACTAAAGACCCAATTCAAAATGACCAAACAAAAAATGTTTAGGGGTTTATTATCTGACATAACCAGAAGTCCAGGGCTAGTGCAGCTCCAGGAGTTAATTTCCATTGCTGACTTAAGGACTGGGGCCCAGCGCTGGTTCATAGCAGTGCTCTCCTGCGCAAGACACACATGGGATATGCGCACCTGTGACCCACTCAAGACACGCTGGTCGGGAAACAGTGAATTATACCAGCCAGGATACCTGAGCTGCCTGGGAAGGAGTGGACACCAGAATAGCACAGGAGCCTTGGCAGACTGAAAAAAGAGGAAAATGGCTGTTGGGTAGTCACTAATGGTGCCTGTAAGAGAAGAGTTTAAGCAATTCTGATGAAAAGTTTAGGAAAAATTAACAACAGAAACATAGAAACTAAGCAAATGAAAATAAACAAAGAAATGGCTAATTCCAGAAAAAATAAAATGGTACAATTTTACTGGGAAGAGAAGGGGGAACAGTGATAGTACAAGTTCTTAATTTGCACTTTCTCTAATAGGAAGTCAAAAGAAAATACCTAAAACCGGTAGATTTAAAAAATATACATGATAAAAACAGTATATTTAGAAATTTAGCAGAGCTCAGAGTAAATGGAAATAGTTCTGGAGAAGTGAGGCAGGGGTGCAGGAGTGGGGCAGAGGCAGGACTGCTGCTGCTGTTGTAAGCTTTATACAAGTCCTCTCCAAATTCTGTACATGTTATTTTATTGTTTTAGTTTCAAAGATGGAACAAATAGCAGAACCCCCCCTCCCTGAATGGACCCTTTATATGGAGAACACAAGTCACAATTATTAGTCAAACAAAAGCAAGCGCCAGTGTTGCCTTTTCCCCATTCCCCCTTCTCACCCTCCCAGGTCCCCCACTTGTCCCACCCACACCCTACACTCAGTTGGGTGACAGCTGGGAGGAGAATCCATGCTGAGTTAGTTATAGGCATCAGCTCTTTTGTTCTTTGGGGAAGGGTTCAACACACCATGGCAGGGGGAGTCCTGGTAGCTGGTAGATGGGGAGTAGTCCTGGGACTCCATAGTCTGGACAGGAAAGGCACAGCCAGTTCTCCAGCGGGTATAACTGCAGTGACAGACCTAAGTGGGTGTCCTGTCACATCGGACTATTTAGAGAAAGGGCCAAGGCTCTATACTGAAAGCTGCCAGATATTCATAAGCATGGCTACATGAGCCTAACTGAGCCACCAATCCTCTTAACCTTTGTTGCTAAAAGCCAACCGTAGATTTAAAATTCAAACATCCTACCTGCACTAAAACTCAAACTTCTGCACTGTGATAAATTTACATCTTTTTCCTTCTTACTCAAACCCTATAGGCTTTGACTATTTTAGGGACAGTCCTGAGAAGGAAAGTCTCATCACAAGGAGCTATTTACTTGGAAGGTCCAAAAACAGAGACTGACCTTGACCTTAACACTGCAATCACTGTGATCCCCTAATTCATTTAGCACACTTCCCTCACGGGTTTACCTTACCCGAGTGGCTTTCAAACAAAGGCTAACATGGAACCTAATGCATAAGACACCCAGGAATGCAGCTGCTCTGGCTGCAGGGTATCCCCCTCCCTGTACCTATTAAAGCCTTAAGGCTCCCTGAAGTTCAGTTCAAAACCATTAATTTCCACCTCACTGCTCCCACCAAAGACTCCTGTTGGCTCTTCTTTTCCACATCCTATGTTCCTTTGGCAGGATAGCCTTCTCAAGTCCCACCTCCTCCAGGAAGCCTTCTCAGACTACTGCTCACTGAAGCTGTCTTCTCCCTGAATCAACTCATTCAGCTACGCTTTACATATATTGGTCCCACTATGTATGACTGCTAAACCTTCTACATTACTGTTTCACGCTCTGGTTTACTTACTATTTAATATGATACAGGAGATAGCTTGGATTTAAAAAAAAAAAGACAATTTTTAGAAACAATTTTATAAATAGATACTTATAAAAGAAGAAACACATATACAGAGCACCCAAATTACTAGTCAGGTGAACTCCAGCCCTTCTCTTCCACACTGGGAAAACAGAACAGAGAACGGGAAAAAGTATTTCATCTTGCGCTCAGCTCTTGCCACCTACGCGCTCAGCTTTTCAAGTAGAGTTTCTATTCCTTTGCTCGTGTTTTTGTTTTTTTCCAATGTGGGAATCAGGCTTTTCAGTCCAGCTTTGACTTTGTTTGCAACTTCTTGGTCAGAACTCTGGAGAAGGCTGAAGAGAGAGGAAAAAAATTAAAACAACTTAAATTCCATAAAAACTCCTAGATCATCTGCAAATATTACCTATACCCACAGTAAAACAGAACTCATTAACTGTGACACAAATCTTAAAACTATATACATATTTTCTTCTTTCATTCACCAGATGATGAGGGCCAGTAGCCCATATTCTAAAACCACAGGAAAAAATGTTTTAGAATCTTACTGGTGGAGTCACTCAAGCAAAGACATTTTAGGACCACATTCCATAGAGTTGGTCCTATCTTCACTTTATCTTAGGACTTACGTCCTGCCTTAAAAATTACTCGTGCATTCTATCTTCCCTTCCCCATCTAGATTATAAGCTCACGAGGACAGTTTGTGTGTTTTATTTCTTTATTTCATGGCACCACTTGTATAGAGTAGATGGCCAAGAAATGTTCACCGAGTGGCTGGAATAACATGTGTGAACGGGAGCACAGAGAGGTAAGGTGGGGGCAGGAGAGGCCGGAGTCAGTGGGCCTTCTCCTGGAACTCCACAGCACTAACACTAAGTGAAGGGGCGAAGAGCGTTCCTGTGGAGCTTCACCGCTTGAGCGTGAAACCTGCCTCTGCCATGCAGTAACTGTACAACCAAGATCATGCTATTGGAATGCTCTAAGACTCAGTTTCCTGATCTGTAGAATGGGATTAAAAATAGAACCCACTTTCTGCCTCGCAGGGCTGTTTTTTGAGACTTAAATTGTCTTTTAACTAAAGCACCCAGCCAGAGCCTGATACTTCGTAAGCGCTCTATAAATGTTAGCTGGTAAAGAAAATAACCCTGGCCTCTGCTTTCTGAAAGCTTGCCAGAGTACTCTAACACCACAAGTGAAGGGAGCCCTGGAGGCAGGTAAGAGTAGGCCCATTTCTCTATAAATAGGGGCTGGGTGATAGGGACCTGACCACAAAGAACCAGGCCTGGACTTCCTGTTTGCCTCTTACTTTTTCAGGACCACATGTAAATGCTGACCTCTGAAACACATTCTAGAAAGAAACTTCTTGGCATTTTCCAAAGTCCGTGGCTCCAGTAACTTCTATCATGTCAACAAAGGGGGATAAGTTATCAGCACTGAGCAGCATTCTACTACTTGTAGGAGACAAGAAACAAGTAGTACAGCTTGCCACCCGCAAAGGTTAAAAATTTGAAAAGTAAAATATCCTTTTAATAGATCTGTGACTCACTAGATGTTTTTATTTTATATACCTTGGCTAAATACAGTTACATAACGCATAATAGTAATACAAGTTAATGTCTACTGATCATATTCCAAATATTAGATACAATGCTAGGCATTTTATATGCATTGTTCAATCTAGTTTTCATAACAACCTTAGGGTTATTATTAATCTTGTTTTACAACCAAGAAAATTAAGGCTCAGAAAAGCTGAATAATTTTCTCAAGCCTACATAGTAAGTAAGGTGGGACTGGAACCCAGGTAGTCTGTCTAAAGCCAATGTCCTTAAGTGCTAGAGAATTCTACTTCCCTGAGTTATTCTTCAGCTGATGTACAAGGCTGACTTTCTCTTTTCACCCGAAATGCTTTTTCACTTAGTGCTAACAGGTATAGCAAAAAATAAAAAATTAAAATTAAAAAACAAAAACTCCAAAAGTTTTAAGTAAAATATAAAGAAGAGAACTTTACCAAACGAGTCAAGCACATTACGATATTCAAAAACCAAACAAAAATGATTATTATATTAATTATTAAGGTACATAAAGTTCAACTTCCATCTAGAACACAAGTATTTCATGTGTTCCTGTTCCAATGCTAAGAATTCATAATATACCTATACTCTTCTTATGTTTGAAATCCACCCAACAGGAGCACTGATTGATGAGCAACCTTTATAAATTAATTTCATGGCATTGCTGAAATTTCTAGTTAATTGAGTCTAATGAAAGAATGTGTCAGTAGGTGTTAACACTCCAAATGTCTGGTAAAGAAATTCATAACAAAACAGTTCATGTTTCAGCTAATGGATTTTGACTGTTTAACATCAACTGGAAAATTAACTAATTTTAATGACAAATGAACAAAATGATCTGTAACACCCATGTATTTGGAAATACTGATATACCTGAAGAAATGCATGCTCTTGCGCGTGTGGGGGTGTGTGTGTGTGTGTAAGTACATTTGTACTAGACCAAAGTATATACTGAAGAAACATTTAACATAACATTTTCAAACAATATAGATTAAACTGCACAGCATGTTGCAAATGAAATATTGTAAGAAATTCAAACTAGGTTTGGTACCTGTTTTCTTAAACCTTGCTAACACAGCAGGGAAAAAAATCAACAGTAATTGTTTCAAAGCAACATATAAATCTTTGAAATGAATGCTCTTAACAGAAAAGTTTCATCTGGGCATAGAATATAAGGAAATTTCTATGACCTGTAAATTATAAACTCGACATAACTAAATCTTCATAAGCCAGTTTCGTACATCATCAATTTTCTCTCATTTTAAGTTAGAAATAAACAATTAGCACATAGACTTCAGTAGCAAATATTTTTCTAATACTTTTAGCATCTTTGAAAACAATGAAAGAAAATTACATGTAAAGTCAGGCACGACTTAAAAACATCAGTTTTCACAGGGACACAACTTATTCATTCAAAAAGATACAATTACATTTTGGTCAAAACCATAAATGTGGTGAAGCCATCATGACACCTTGTGAATGTCATAATTTTATGATCCTTGACATCAAAAAGACAGCAGTTAAAATAAAAAATCCTAAGGACTGGCCAAAAGAGCTACATTTGCTTTCTATTCTTTAAAATAATATTTGGTACAGCTGCCTAGACCATGAATGACTGACAGTAATATCAGACTATCAGGAACAAATATTAGGACTGAGAAATAAAAGGGAAGGAAATATCTTTCACATGACTACGCCCTGCAAAAAGAAACCCACATATTATACATACCTAGAAAGAATAATGGCACCTCGATTTACACTAGCCCAGGACTTCAGGTTCTTCATACCAACATGCTCTACAAGTGTTTTTGCAAAACAACCTGTAAAATAAATATACTGAAACTTAGCGAACATCATCTACCAAGATTTAAACTCCCAATCCCTTCTCTACTGCCCCTAAACCTGCAAATATGTTTTAATAAAAAAGCTAATAAAAAGAGTTCTCACCTAATCTCCCTTAACACTAAAAATTTCATGCAGGTTTATACAATGCATTTTTAAACAGCCATTTCTTTTAACTTTGATCCAAAACCTAAGCTATGTTTAGCAGTAATTACTCAAGAAAAACAATGAATGCTTATAAAATGCTCACTTGGTTATGTTTGCATTTCTTTGTAATATTTAATGATTTAACTTTGACCTGAAAGATATTCAGGAAGTAAATGTTTGATGGTAGCACCTGGTGTTTGGTTTAAAGGAAAGTTTTCCCTTATGGGGAATGCTCACCCAGAAGGTGCCATGAACACAACACTGTGATCATGTGTTCAGAAGTAATTGAAGAATGTTCATTCTTCAAGAATAGTTGAAGAATAACTGTTCTAGCTTACACCTGGCAATTTCTCTCTACGACGCTTAAATATCCACATATCCACACATCAAAACCACCATTCATTTTATGTTATTCTAATACTTCTGATTTGCAAGGTCTCAGTGTTATCTTATTCACTGTGCCATTTAAGTGCAACTAAGTCTCGGACAAAGGAGAAATTCTGATGGCTAGAATTTAGTGCAGATGGAGGTAGGGACAGCCTATCTTGAAGGCAAACATCTTGGTTAAGTAGCATGTACTGTGTATTCATTCAAAGCTACCCAAATGTAAGGACCCTTTAAAAGCCAAGAGGCCTATGGCTATTCATCCTTTAATGGCACCTGCTAAGGAGGGACAGAGATCAGCTAGTGGGCCAAATTGTGTTTTCCAAAGATAACCACAACAGCTGTGTAGTGCTCTTCTAGAATATTGCCATTCCACCATCTAGAGGTGGAATCCATGTCTTCTCCTTTTGAATCTGGGTTAGCCTCTGTGATTGACTTGACCAAGAAAGTATGCTGAGAGTGACATTAAATTAATTCTGAGGATAAATCATGCAAGTACCATGCATTTACTTTGCTCTCTTGGGATGCTTACTCTTAAAAATCAACCACCATCTTGTGAGGAAGCCCAAGCAGCCTAGGAAGAGAAACTGATGCTGTGGGACCAACTAACAGCTAGTGCCAACCTGCCAGCCATGTGAGTGAGCTATGGTAAAAGTGGACACTCCAACCCCACATGGACTCTGAGCAGAGCAGAGGCAAGCTTCCCCAAACCCTGATCAAATAACTGTCTTGAAAACTACTAAGTTTTGAGCTGGCTCGTTACACAGCAACAGATAATCAAAACAGCTAGACACAAAGCGAGACACACTCATTTGGTGCTACATAAAAAATGACAAACATATCAGGCCCAAATAGGCACATTTTAGGGCTGTTAGTGCCTTTTAATTAAGAGGGAGAGAAGTCACTAGAAAATTCCTTGGACTTTAAGAGTAAGCCAGACAACTTTTCTGGCATAAACTTTAACTCAATCATATATCAACTTTTTTGAATGATGAAAAAGATGATTCTACACGTTATTTTTCTTTAATATGTATTACAAGCTCTTTTATAAAAAAATTTACAGTGAAAAACAGCCCTAAGTCCCTATTCTTAAAGATAAAGTGAGAAGTGACAGCTATACTGCTATGCTGACTGTCTCACCAGCCATTAGAACTGCACGTGGCCTTAAAGACACAGATTCATGATCTGTCACTTTTTTCAGAGACAGTAACAGAAAGCCCAAACTGCTTCAACTCAGTGGGGGTGGGCAGGGGTGGGGGGGAATCTCTTTAGTGGCTTAAATACCAGACGGAGTTTGGATTTTGTAAGTGAAGGTCCAGTGAGAGATAGGACTACGACAGAAAATGAGGATGCGTGGGAAAGAGAAAGAAAATTAAAGGATTCTTGGACACAAATTTCTAGGGGAAAAAGCATTATTTGCAACTACTAAATCATTTCTTATTCACAGACATCATTTCTAAACACTTGACAAAGTTTCATTTGCATTTAAATGGCCAGTGTAAAGTTCAGGGATGCCAAGAATTACTGGAATTCCACATAAGATATAAGAAAAGGTCAAGTTTCACAGCCTACCTTCTCTTCCATTTTCCTTCATCTTTTTATCTTGCTCTATTAACCACTTCAGAACTAGATGTCCTGCGGGATGTTCTGCAATGTGAAGCTATGAAGGGTCAAGAACACGTGCATTTAAAAAGCTGTTTTCACTCATGTAAACACAATACATTCGAATGAATACATATAATTCATGGTATACCACCACACACAGATAAGGATTCAGCCACATTTAAGTTTAAAGTTCCACCTGGCTTAAGAAGTCTTTATCTAGAATGACTATCATACAAGGAGGGACCGAGATCTACTCCAATCCCCAGACTGAAAGGAAGCCCGTCAATGCCAGATCACACAGCCACTGCAAAGCAGGTCAGACTGAGTTTCGTGAGTTCCACTTTGAACCGCACTGCCACAGTGCTCACCTTAAAGTCATGTTAACTGCGTTTTAGATTGTAATGTGCAGTTCTGAGGTACAAATAAATCCACAGGACAAACACTACAGCAGAAACACTGAAACCCAATGCTGAATGATGTAATATACAGATGACTACTTAAGGGGAATTATCTAATGAGCAGGCCAAGAGAGCATCTCCGCAGCTCAAACTTACTCCTTTTTCAAAGGCCACGCCAATTGCTCCCACAGTACCTAGGGCCTCTCCTTACTGAATATGGGAGACGAAGGGCTCAATCTCCTTACAGAGAAAACTTTCACTATAGACACCTTCATTTCTCCCATTTGTCAATATGATCTGTTCGATGAGGGCAGGGCCAGGGCTCTCCAACACCCACCCATGGCCTCCTTCTCAAGGTGTCAGACACAAGGCCCAATCCCATGTGTCAGAAGCACCTCACCATCAATTTCATTCACGACCAAATACATGTCTGTACAAAACACTTCCAAGTGCCAGGCTTTGACCCAGACGGTTAGAGAATTAAAGATGAATACAACGTAATTGCTACTGTGGAAAAGGCTCTTGGTTGTTTATCAACAGGCATCTCCCTCACCACCTTTCTTCCCTGCTGATACCCCACCACCTCCACCCACATCTTCTAAAAGTCCCTTCTCAATCTCAGGGAACACACCCTGCCTGGTCTCAACCAGTCGTAGGAATCCAATCACTTCTGCCAGAAATTAATCCAAAGTGGATATGCGACTTAGTTCTCCCCAGTAAAATGCCAAGGAAGCCTGTTTGGAGGTTTACTTCCCAGTGCCAGGATGACAACCCTTCTTGCTTTTTCCTTCCTGCTTGGGACCCTGATAGAGGGACAAGGGCTGAGGCTGTGAAAGCCAACTTGTGACCACAAGGCACCAACAGCTGCAAAGACAGTGAGCCTGGGAGGTGACATGGCCGGGTTGCTGTACCACACCGGGAGTTGTGTATCATTGTTTTTCTTAGTATGGCAATTAAGCACCTAACTGCTAGAGTGAGGCATTCTATTATTTGTAGCAAAACAACTACTCATGGCACTAGTGAGAAGTTCTTAGATTTGGGCTAAATTCAGATGTTATCATTCAGTTTCCACTGCATCCTGAACATAACTCACTGTTACAGCTACTTTGTACTGTAATACCTTGCTTGTATGTGTCTCTACAATGGGTCTCAAGCTCTCTGGCAGGGACCCTGTCATTTCATCTTTGAATGCCACCATAAGCATTCAGCATGGATTTATTGCATTTTTGATTAATGAATGAAAGGCATGGAACTTAAATAAATTATTACATATCCTCAAACTATAATACTGAGGATAATAATGAAAGGGTGTTGTGAGAATGAAGCGAAAGCAGAGGCCACTGCTTCAGAAAATAGCAAGTTCCCCATAAACGTCTGTTTGTCAGAAGTTTACCCCAGTGTAGGACAAAGGCCCTGTGTGATCTGGCCTCTGTTTTCCCCTTCCCTTTGCTCACTGATTTCCACCCCCTACCCCATCCCTGCCTCAAGCCTTCTGTTCTCAGACGTGCCTAGGACCTTTCTTCCTTAGGGCTGCTGTACAACCTGCTCCTTCCTAGAATCTTTTACCATTCTTCACTGAGTAATCCTTCAGGTCTCAGCTGAGCTCTCATTACCACTGGGAAGCCTTCCTGGGGGGAAGTTGGCTCTTACACACTCCCATAAAACTTGTAGTTTTCTTTCATAGCTCTAATCTCAATACTGAAATAATTACTTGTGAAAATATTTATTTAAATATTGTGTTCCCCAGAATAGTAAGCGTTGGGAGGGCAGTGTTGGCCACTGTCTAGCAGAGGTGCATGAATCAGTGAAGTGAAGATGCAAGGCAGAATAGTATGAGGCCCAAATAACACAGGCAGGAACTATCAGAAAGAGCAAGTGTTTTCTAATGAGGAGCAACAGGAAGGACTTCACAGAGAAGCGTTCAGGGGACCATGGATGAGTAAGGCACAGGGAAATGGAGAAATAGGACGGCATGCTAGGCTTCGGGAAGAAGCACCCACAGCATATCCAAAATCAAAACAGGAGCATAGAATATGCTGAAAAGGCAGTCTGGGGCCAACCACAGACAACGGAGAGCCACAGTACGAGGACTTTGCTTTTACTCTGGACGTACTGTGGAGCAGGTTTCTGAAACAGACAAGGGCTGTAACGGCATTGCATTGTGAACTCACAATTTCCAAATCTACTGTTGGTATAAAGTGAGTTGAGATGATCATCATTTAAACCTCTTTATAGTGACTGGAGTTTTTGCCGCCCCTGCAGCTTTCCTGTCTGTCTTATAACAGCACATTACCTCTCCCTCCTTGCCACCAGGATGCAGTTCTGCTGCTGCCAAGCTGGCGATGGCATTCATGGCAGGCTGAAAGTCTCCGGTCGCAGATCCCAGGATGTCAGCAACCAACACACAGGTAGACTTATCTAGCACCACCTCCTGGGCATGCCCTTGCAGGTAGCTCAGCAAAGCTGGAGAAATGGATTCTAAGAGCTCGCGTCTGCGGATCTCTGTATCTTTCTTACTGTTGGAATACGTTGAATGAGGTATTAAGGTAAGATAAACAGCAAAGGAAATATGGTGACCTTATCATCACAAAAACTTCTAAGAGCTCATCACAGTCTGTGTCACACTCTAATTGTCTCTTTCTGTTGAGCATGTAGACAATGAGTGATTTGAGGGTATCTCTGATCTGTTTTTCATCTCTGTGTCACCAGGATCTGAATAGTGCCTGGAGCAGAACAAGCACTCACGAAATAAAATTTGGCTTATGTAATACAAAAAACAAAAACAAACAAACACATCAATCCAAAAACCAAGCAAAAAAATATCCCACAAGACAACACATTTATACTTCTGTATGGACTCCACTCTCTAGGGTACTCGAATGCCTGGTACCAGTAGCTTCGAAAATAAAGTAAAAACAAACAAAAACCAAACCCCACACCTGAGTAACTACTATATGGCAGATGCTCAGGTGTTCTTTTAGCCTGACCCTTTTATTAAATATTTCCTTTTCGAGATAAAAACTTTAAGAATCTGTCAAAATGACAGGCTTGAAAATAGAATTCGCCTTTTGAGAAGTTTTAGCTCTCAAAAACTTGGCCTGGATGTATGGGTGGATTCCTGGAACATGTGCTACTCGCTAGTAGTGAACATTCAGAGCAGAGGAATAAAAGGAGGCAAAGCCCTTCTACTTGCTTTTACCTGTGTGCATTTCCATCTCCTTTTTGCAGAACTTCAATGATTTCTCGTACTGTATGTGCAGGATCTCTGGGGCTTAATAGATACAACAGGACCTTCCTTCCGTATTTATCATTTACTATGTTAGGCAAGGAACTAATAATTTCCTATAAAATTATAAACAAAAACAGTGAATCGATACCTACATTCTTAAAACATGATTGGGATTTGAATGGTAAAGAAGAATACACACTTAACTATTTTCTCCAGTGGACTTAATGGGAAATGTGGAGCTAGTTCTGAAATTGTCTCATTAAAGCCCAAAGAGATTTACACTTAGAACACAGAATCGATTCTCTACTATGACTAGCATTACTGAACAATCCATTTATATTAACTAACCAAGCCTAAAGACTTAAAAACTATTTAAAAGAGCTATCTTTATTCATTATGACCAACATTTCTTAGGCCACTATTACAAGGGACCTTGCTTGCCAGAGGTCACTGAGTAGACACAGTTAATTTGCAGTTGCACTTAAATGTAGCATCAGCAAGGATGAAGAACATTCCCATTAGAATTTCCCTGCTGAGATGTATGTGAAAGGAGATAAAGAAACTCTGTTAAATAGAACAAGTAGATAAAGGCTTTCAAAGTTAGGTTGCTTATTCATGGCAAATGAAAGCTCGTTAACTATTGTAATGAAAAACAAAAATAGAGGGGGAAGGAAAAACAAATTCAGAAAGACTCCACTGAGCAGTTACAAATTACACTCTATGACATTTCAATCAACACACCCAAGAACTATAACCTCCTTTTCTAGTTATGTGACAAAAGCAATGTCCTCCCCACCCTAACTGAGCTCCACTGTAAATTTGCTGATGTTTTCAAAGACAGAAAAGTCACTATTTAAAAAATTCCTTTACTTTTAATGGAGGATATGCAACAGAAAAAATCATCAGTTTGTTTTTTCCCCCTCTAACATTGCTATTTCTTGTAACAAACTTTATAAATATTCAAATGCATGTTTGAGTACCACAGATTCTTTAGAACTGGCTAGGCCTCAGAAAGAATTCAGTCCAACTCGCCAAGTTTAAGGCAAGGGAGAAGTGATCTGCCAGAGGACATACAATGGCAGTGGCAGGGCTGGCTTAGTCCTGGTCCTCTGACTCCAAATCTAGCATCTTTCAAAGAAAACGTACAACCTCCTCTTAAGGAAAGGAATTCTCACTGAGATATATTCAGATCTGCTCTTCTTCGAAGTGCCTATTTATAATAAAAAGATCAGTAATTTTAGTGCAAAGAATCAACCTAAAAATTAAGTCAATCATCAACCATGTGATTGTGATACAGCAAAATTCACCATCCCATGGTTGATGAAGCAACTCCACATTCTACGTACCACACTTCTCTTTTCAAAATTTTAAGCTTCCCTCATCTGCACAAAAGTATACTGTGCTTCTGATAATTAGTAACAGTAGCCAATACTCGTTAAGTGTGTACTAGGAGTCAGACATTGCTGAGAGCTGCACATCTATCATCTTAAATAATCTTCAAACCACCATGTCCTGATTCCATGACTCCAATCCCCACTGTGCTCTCCTAACTGCTTCTGAGGAAGTTTAAAGTCACAGTATAAAGATTCCCACATAAAACATGTTTTCAGAGAATATAACAACTTCAAAATGGATACATAATTTCAATCACCTAGAGAAAATGAACTTAAAATTTCAGTAATAAAAGGTAACACACATACAAAAAATGTACAGAACTTATCAGAGTAGGAAGAATTTTTGTCGAAGTCAACAAGCTCCAAAGTGGAATCAGTACGTATTTTTGATGATGAAGTGTTTAGGGTCCCCAATACGGAGCATCTTTAGTGTGCCTGTAGTGTACCTTTAGGTACTTGCTTTAATCAACTCATAAAACAGAACAAATGCCTTACATTTTTGTATAATCTGGGTCATTTTCTATAGTCTTACAAAAACAAAACCAACAAACCTTTGCTGTCTTTAAAAAACCAACTGGAATAATAATATGTTTAAAACATCTGTTTTTATGAGAAAAAATTGGGGAGTATGCAGTTAACAACTATAATGGCCACTCTTTATTTTTAATCAACATTTTTTTTCTTGATATAGAGGAAAGAGGGGAGGCATGAAGCTGGCAATGTATTCCTCAATGAACTGAACTTGCTCCATGGGTTCCATGCTTGAGGCCTAATCTAACACTTACGGCTTGGGCAGAAATGGTTTTATAACACAAGAAAGTGAGACTTCAAGACACACATAAAATCTGTGCATAAATACCACTTACAGGATTAGTTCTCAAACTCACTGAACTTTACTGCCTTTCAGTTTGTAATGAAAGAATTTAGAATCTGAATTCATGTTTAATTAAGACTTTTAAAAGAGTGTAATGTTTATAAACAATCTTATGAAACTAAAAATTGTTTTACTTAAAAATGTAATATTTAATTCTTCCCCATCTCACCCTTATTCCAACTTTCCCCTATCGCCAAAAAACATACACCTTTGAAAAAATAAAGGGAAATGGTATATAAGTGCTGCTATATTATGGGTACTAATCCATTTCTCTTTAGCTTGGGTTACAGAGAAACATGGGAGAAAGTTCTAGCTTATTGCCTGGAGAGTATTAACAATTCCAGTAGCATCTATAAATAGGTAAGAGACAGCTATGGCATACTTGATATTGTGTACAATTTAGTCTCTGGGGTCTTGAGTTCAAGCTGTATAGCTTTGGGAAAATCTTTTAAAAAACCTCTCTGCATTATCTGTAAAAGGAAACAATACACCAGCCCAACTCATGGGCTATTACCAGGAGCAAATCAGAGAGTCAAACTGAAAATCTCTGAACAATAATTATTTCATGTAAAAAATACACCTCTCAATATACAGCATCCTTAACTATGGAGATTAAATGAAGCTGGGAGGGTCATGAGTTTCCATCCTCAAAAGAGTGAAAATATCAACAACGAAGGTGCAATAAAGGTTTTGGCTTAGTGTACTGGTACCCTTGCAAGAATTAACTTAGAGAAAATCACGAGGCCCATTTATTGTCGTTTTTTCTTCTTAAGCTCAAAATCACGAGGCCCATTTGTTGTCATTTTTTCTTCTTAAGCTCTAAAGTACGCACGTGAACAGAAGAAAGCACAGGAACAAAAGACCTCCCTTCTGAAGACATCTTTGGCTAGTTCTGACCTCCTTATGTTGAACTCTTGCCAGATTCCTTGGCACTCTTGTTTTGCCAACCCAAAGAGGAAGGGTAAAGGTCAAAATAAAGGGTGCACACAAGAAGTGTATTTTTGGTGCAGGATAGAAATGCAAAAATCAACACATTACTACTGAGAACCAAGCCTATGGTGCACACACTCTTTGGTAGTCTGTTGTGGGGAAAAAAAAGAAATGCAGACTGCTTTAACTATAGGAACTAAAATCTAGTGGAAGAGGCGATAGAGTTAATGGAAAGCTAAAAACAAAAATAATAACAAGTAACATAAGTGTAGAGGAAAGGTTAGATTACCAGGTGGCCTCTTGAGAGTTTTATTTTGAAAATAAGGTGAGTTTATCCAAAAGTCCACCTTTTTGGCTGCACTCAGAAAACGGGAAGGTCAAGTTTAATGGGTATAGTGTTTCAGATTTGCAAGATAATAAAGTTCTGGAGATTATTTGCACAACAATGAATATACTTAATACTACTACTCTATATATGCAAAAATGGTTAAGATGATAAATTTTATGTGTGTTTTATACTCCAATTAAAAAGAAAAAAATTGGAAGGTCTACTGTCCTGGAGATCACACTGCCAGAGGCTGGAGCCAACAGGTGGCCACCACCCTGGACAGGGTGTGTCTCTCTCCATTCCCCATAGTCCCCACTAAACCTCCTGGTCTCACCTGGCCTGGTCACTCATTTACCTGTCTGGTCAATGAAAGTCTGTAAGTTTGTGAGCCCTGAGGCAGATCATAATTAACTGCTAAAGGAAAGACAAACACTATAGTAGTTGAAAGCATGGGCAGACCAGATCTGACTGGGAGATCAGAGAACACTATCTGATGATTAAAACAAGAGGAGTGATTATCAGGCTATGATATCAACTTGACATTTCAGGAAATCCAGTTACTCTGAACAGAATGCTTAGCAACACTAAGCTCTCTTGGCTATTTTTAAAAGCACTGTATAATGCAATAGGTTTTGTAGTGGCTGGGGGGGAAATATGGTCACATGACTCTATATAAACATATGTGTAGCATATTCAACAACCCAGCAATTGTACTACACAATTGAAACTAAACTCTGCTACATTAGAGAAACTTAATGTGTGTCCAAAGAGACATATATAAGAATGTTCATGGAATTATGTGAAATAGCAAAAATTAATAAGAATTAAAAAATAGTTTTTAAAAGTATAAACAACCTAAATATCTATCACCAGGAAAATAGAATAATAAATTGTAGTGTATTCACATGTAGTAGAATGCTATTTGGCATTGAAAAATAAATGATTCAGAAGAACCGGGTGGGCGAACTATGGCCCATGCATCAAATCCAGCCTGTAGCCTGTTTTTATACATCCTACAAGCTGTGAATGGCTTTTACATCTCAAAGGGTTGTTAAAAAACAAAAACAAAACAAACAAGAATATGTGGCAGAGAACATATATGGCCTTCAAAGACTGAGTAATTACTTTCTGGTCCCTTACAAAAAAGACTTGCTGACCCCCATGGACACAATGACAAAAGAAAACAGCAAGTTGCAAAAGAATACACACAAGACACCGCATATGTAGAATTTATAAACGTAAAATAAAGTGATATACAACTACATATAGTGAAAGGATAAGGAAATACATATGAATAATAGCAAATTCATCATAGTAGGTAGAAGGCAGGGATGAGTACACGAAGGGCTTAAACTTGAACTGCACTGGTCGAGTTTTAATCCTTTTTGTCAGACGGTGGGAGGCTAAGTGTTCGCTGTATTATTTATACTTCTCTCTATATTTTAAGGATAATACATTTAAAAATATGCATCAATATTTATTCACCTTCAAACAGCAATTGGCTAGTATACTTATTTCCTTTCTCATGAACACTGTCAAACCAGCTGCATCATACCGATGACTTTAAGGTGAACCGGATCAGATTTTATAAGGATGTTTATTTTGGAAAGTAAAGTAGGTGAGAGAGTTTGTACCCATTTTGAAAGGTGAAGGGCTCAGCTGACCAGACTGCGATTTCAACCTGACATTTCGGGAAGTCTGGGTGCCCTGAACACATTAACAACACTAAGCTTTCTTGGTTATTTTTAAAAAACATGAATACTGCAACAGGTTTTGTGGTGGATGGGTAGGAAAAACGCAAGAGCAATTAGCATTCCAGAATTTTATCACTAGCTATTAATACATAGTTTAATGACACACAGAACCTGTTGAGCATTTGTCAGAGGCAAGAGATCAGCAAATCAGGCCTTTCAGAGAAAGCTGCCCTGAGTACAAGAAAGTCATCAGGAATGTGGGTTAAATAGTTGTGGGAATCAGGCTGATAAGTACAAGGAATTAAAACTGTTTCAACAGCAACATTAAGTGGGATAAATTTTTGGAAAAAAATTAATCTAATAGACAATTCTGGCAAATCCTGAAGGAAGTTTGGTTTCTCTTGAAATCTATTTGGAACAGTTATGCAAATGTTAGTTGTCATGAAAATATTACACAAAAGAAAACTTTCAATATCCCAGCCTGTTTCCATTTTAGTGAAACAATTTTATTCATTAGCCAATTCTATGGCCTCACATCTCTGTCACAGGAATGAAAAACAATCATTATTGATTGGAGTCAAAGGGTAATAAAGTCACAAGGAACATGTCAACATACTCAGTTTGTGACATGAAAGTCTTGCCAACTTGTTTCTTCCCACAATCCTATCCCAAAGAAAGTCATCACAATCTTAAAACAGTCAAGGGTAAAGTTGGAAAATGACAGCAAGGGCATGAGAAATTCACACACAGTGGGACCTACAGCTGGCATCTAAGAAAACAAATTTTCCCCTCCACGAGCTGATATACTGTTTCTATTAACACCCAGCTCTACTAGTCCAGAGAGGCTACAGCACCACCACCTGACAACAGGTAAATTACTTTCTGAATCATCCAGATCCTTCCTCCCTGCCGGTGGTATAAAAGTACCATTTGTCACCAAGATTTCTCCTAGGGCTCCATGTGTGTCAAACAGAAAGGTCTGTGTAATTTTCAAATGAATAACTTATGTCTATCAGATTATGTGGTTTTTAAAACATTTCCAAGTATGGTCACTGCTACCAATGTTGCATTTTCTTATTCTCACTCCTGTAACCTCTACCACCTGTACACTAAAAATAAAGAAAAGGAAGAGGAAAGGATCACAGAATCAAAAGAAGAGGCTGTCATTGCAGGATGAAGAAAAAAAAATAGTTTACAATGTAATTTTTACTACAGAGTAGCTTCTCCAAGAGGACACTCAGTTTATCTGAAGGCAAATTGAGGAATAAGTAGACTATTCAAATATTACCACTCTATGGTCATTACACTGGGCTTGAGGGAACTGTAGACTGAAATGTAAAAAGGAAGCTAGTATTTTAATTTTAGTATTACAGTAATTTTTAATCTGACTCTACAAAAGCTTTAAGAAGCATCACAATTCAGTCAGTTTTATGTGTTTTTCTTTTCCATCGGCTCAACTCAGCACAGATACACTGATAAACTGGCTAATTGTGCAGAGGTAGTTTTTCCATATGGGGAGAGAGAGTTAAAAATGTCACGGATGCCCTCTGCCTATACATGAGTTCTGGAATAACTAAAGAATTATTATGTAAACAAATTTCTGATCCTATCTAAATATTACTTTGCTAATATTTTGTATTTTAGAATCATATATGGTCTAAACAGCCACACTACCCTAATCCAAAATGAAAGTGTTGTCTTAATTTAACCACAGTTTTTTAAATAATTAAAACAGCATTAGTATCAAGTTACAAGGTTATGATTTATATAGGAATTAAGCAAACCTCCAAAACAACACTTAATTGATAACTAAAAAATAACAAACCATCAGAATTACTTACTGATATGATTATCTGCTTCACGAGCTTAGTATCATCAATACAATCAAATGCCGCCAGTAAAACCAAGTGGGAGTATTGGCCCTGCAAGAATTGGAAGCCAGTAAAGGTTAAAAAAAAAATGCATAGACTTTCACTTTTATTTCACCGGTGCTGTCCCTTTGCAGAAGTTACCAACACTGACAACTTGTCCGACATAATATAAACAAGATGAATGAAAGCTATTCAAATGAACTTCCTCTCTTATCAGGACCTAGTTAATCATATGCTAGCGGTAAGGTTGATTTGGAAAAAAAAAAGAAACAAACAGAAAAGCACATTCTTCACTACTAAATAGCCCAAGACTAACCAGGATATAATACCTGTTTAAACAGATATCCTGTTAATGAATAGCAAGAAAGTTCAAGTGATAAGATTAAATGGAAAAAAATCCCTATATATTTTATATATATATATTCATACATAAAATATTCCAACCATGAAAAAGAAAATATATAAACTGAGACACAATTTTACACACCCACACATACTATACATATATATAAATGTGTATTACACATGTACATATACTATACATATATAAATGTATGTTATACATCCTACACACACACACACACATACACACACACACACACACACATAAATGTAAAATACATATATACAGAAAATCTTGGAAGGCAAAACACTGAAATAGTCATCTCTGGGTTAAAGGATTATGAATGATTTTTCATTTTCTTTTGTAATTCTTCAATTTCTTTAAGATGATCCTACATAATTAGAATATAAATACCAAAAAAATAAACCAGAAGAGTATAATTGTAAACTGAATACAAGAATAAGATAAAAACCATTGTTTTAAAAGAGCATGGCAGCACAAGATCTTAGAAATATACAATGTGGTGTTCACAACAGTCACCGCTTGAAATAATAAAATTATTCCCATGATGCTGATACTGTTATAAACATTTAAAGAACCCCTACTTTATATTAAAAACAAAAACCTGTTTTCAGAGCTTGTGGCATTTTTTTTTTTTTTTTTAGTATCCTGGATGATGATATAAATGCTTGTTTTTAAGTTTTGAAGGGAGTTTGATATTTGATAACAGCCCACACTCATTCAGAGCCAGGTCTGATGAATACAACAGGTAATAATCGCTAATTTAAGGTAAAAAAGGTAAACTGAAGGTCTAACATCCTTATTATATATAAATAATAATAATAATCCTTACTATTATATAAAGAAGAAAAATCAAAATAGGCAAAGAACGTGAAAAGTCAGTTCACAGAAAAGAGAATATAAATGGCTTTAAATGTATGAAATAATTAGGGATAATAATTAAAACAAAAAATACCATTTTCCACCTATCCTATAGGCAATGGTGAAAACCTTTGACAATAGACTAATTTATCAAAGGTATGGGGAAAAGCAGGCACACTTTTATGTAGGTGAGAATGTAAAGTCATTAACTTCTTTGAAGAGCAATTAACATCTATACAAATTTAAAATGCATGTATGATCTGATCCAGTAACTCTAGTTCTAGAGATTTATCCTACAGACGCACTTTCACATAAGTACAAAGGCTTATGCATAAGGATATTTAAGGATATTCACTGGAGTACTACTAATTGGAATAAAAAAATCTAGAAACTACCCAAATGTCCAACAGTAGGGACTGGTTAAATGAATTTTGGTACAGTCATACAATGAAATATTATGAAGTCATCAAGGAGAGTGAGGTAGACAGATGTACATATATTGAAATAAAATGATCCGTAAGATGAATTAAGTGAAGGAAACAAAATGCAGAACAACGTGCACCGTACAAAACTGCTGGTTTCAGTTCTCTTAAGTCATACATAAGCATAATCAAGTGCAAAATATCTCTGGATGAATATAACAGAAGCTGATACAGAACTGAATTTAAGCAAGAAACAGATAATTCTACAAGTATAGCTGCAAATTTTAACATGTTTCTCTCAGCAACTCATAGAACTAGAAAATAATAAACAAATCAGTAAACGCATTGATGATCTGAACAACACTATCAACCACTTTGATCTGACATTTATATTTAATAGAATAACACACCAAAAAACTCCACAATATATTCTTTTCAAGATACTAAGATAGATCATATGTTGGGCTGTAAAAGAAATCTCAGTAAATTTAAAAGGACTGAAATTATGCAGAGTATATCAAGAAACTCTCAATATTTGGAAATTAAACAATACTTCTAAATAATCTATGGATCAAATCCATGGGTTAAGTTTATCTCTCCCCTTTAGAAGTAAGTCTTAGAGATTAAAAAAGATACTGTATTGTTAATTTCTGTTACCATCACAATGCCATGCCAGGATTAGGGTCTCAAAAAACTTATTGTTGAATTACTTGAAATAACCAAACTGAAAAATTAAAACAATCTAATTTTATTACTTAAAAATGTCTTACTATTAATACATTTCCAAATTTTCTATTAACATTCTATTTTTACTCATTTTTAATTTGAAGTATTCAAGGCCGGGCACGGTGGCTCACACCTGTAATCCCAGCACTTTGGGAAGCCAAAGCGGGAGAATCTCGTGAGGTCAGGAGTTTGAGACCAGCCTGAGCAAAAGCGAGACCCCCTTTTCTACTAAAAATAGAAAAATTAGCCCCAAGCATGGTGGCAAGTGCCTGTAGTTCCAGTTACTCCAGAAGCTGAGGCAGGAGGATTGCTTGAGCCTAGGAGTTTGAGGTTGCTGTGAGCTAGGCTGATGCCACCACACTCTAGCCCGGGCAACAGAGTGAGACTCTGTCTCTAAATAAATAAATAAAGTATTCAAATTAAAATGTCATGCATAAAAAGGTACTTAATGATGAATTATGAATCATAAAATAATCTCATGCTCTGGAAACAACTCATTAGAGAATCCCATATTTCACTCTATTACAGGAAAGTTAGCTACCTTCTGAATAGTTTTATATTAACTCTTCTTCTAATCTCAGTCCTATGGAAGACAATAGGTAAGTATACAATCACACAGCATCAATTTTATCTTTGTTTGAACTAACATTTCCTATCAGTATTCACCAGATGCTAGTAGTTCTCATTGGATTTTTAGGAGGACAAATAATTTTAGTTATTCACTAAATAAGTTTAGTTCATCATAGAAATTTACTGATGAACTAAGTTATCAGTCAAATATAACTAAAAAATTAAAATGACAGGGAGGTTGGGGTGAAAAATGAAAAATCAAAATTATATTTATTACTATGTATATTCTAGTTATAGTATTTCATAATAATACTATGGAAAACTATTTAATATCTAAACACATACAAACCCTATTTTGGAGGCAATTAATCCCACAGAAAAAACTTTTTGTGTCCACTAATTTCACTAGGAAAGCTGTTTCTGCATTGCCAAAGGATCCCAAAGAACTATAAAATTTAACAATTTGAATTTTCTATGACCACATTGCAAATTTATTCTAAGAAAAAGGGAGATAAATATCAGTTTCTACTATGGTTTTGGTGGTAGCGAAAACCAGTATCCAGTCTCTTAAGTGTAATCTGGCATTATTTATCTATAGCCTAAAATATGTATATATCCTTAACCGGGCAGTAACTCCCACATTTAATTAACATGACTGGACAAATTCATTAAGGAAGCTAGTAAATATCAAGTCTTCAAAGAATATCTAATAAAAATGGAGAACTGCCACAATACAATGCTAAATTTAAAAAGGAGAAAAGAATAAAAATATACGTAACATATGCACAGAAAAGATTATAATAATACATTTTCTTCTTGGTAACTGTCTGAATTTTCCAAAATTTCTATAATGGACATAAATTCATTTTAATATTAAAAATAATTAAAAGAAATAATTTATTTCTTTTTTATTATAGCTTTATTATACTTACATTAGCTATTTTTTCAACATAAGTCTTCATTGTTTTCACAATCACTTTCCTGTCCTAAAAAAGAAAAATTTGTCAATGAATTTTTAGTTATAGATTGAGGGTATTTCATAGTTAAATATTAAATTTTCATTTGAGTAGCACACTTTTCATTAGTGAAAATAATAGTTATGCGGGCAGAATGAAAAAAACTGCAATATACTATGAGAAGTTCTCTTAGAGCTATTATAATCAGACTTATATGTGACAATCCACTCAAACATAAATATGGAGCCATAAAATTGTAGGTCAGAAGGCACACCTAGAGAAACCACCTTATACAACGAGATCTGAGGGATTCTTCTTCCAAGGTCTGAACTGTCTTCAAACGCATAGAATCAACCATACAGTTACTGTTCATATGCATTTGTTAAATACAATTTGCATTAATCAAAAAGTAGATATAATACAACCACCTTTTGAAGGCAGAATTATGCTGATCAAGGAAATGATCATTTCTGCTAACCTCTGATTAATATGGTTCTTTACCCTTTTCTTCAAAGTACTTAACACCCACAGGAGCAAATGTGTGACTAGCTGTTTGTGATCTCCTTCCTCCTCCTCCCTCAAAATGATCATTAAATGAGAAACAAAGAGCCTGACAGGTACCAAAACCTCTATAGGCTAAAGCTTAACATACGTGTTGTGTCTACTTGCTTGACAGATCTCTTCTCATGCTTTAATGAAACTTCAAGGTTTCTATTAAAGCAGAGAAGAAACACTAGGCCTTTAGAAGATGGCTAATTACTGTGAGGCCCCAAGGTACAACTTTGAGAAGATAATGTTGTTTATGCACAATAGGGCAAAGACCAAAGAAGACTAAAGGTCTAAGGACAGGCAGTCAAGCCTGCAGATAAGGCGTGGCCCTGAACAGCAGAGTTTACGGGCAAGTGCTGCCACACTTACCTTGGGCGTGCCATGCCACAGGCAGTGCATGGCCACTCTAGCGCCATCGTGTGTGTGTGCCAGGTATACCACCGCTTCCCGGATGGCTTCAATCATTTCCTAGGAAACAAATGCTAACAGCGTTTTGCTTTATTTTCTTCTGCTGCTATTATATCTGTCTGTCTACAGGCAGGGAGTTATGCACAGAGAATGAAAGGAAGAGAGGGCAGGTAGCAAACAATTTAATTTTTAATTTTGTAGACAATCAAATAGAAACACAAACTCTTTCTAGAAACATTCTTCTCCATCAAGAGCAGTAAGTATTGCTGGCAGGAAATTTCTATTAAACACAATATCTGACTTTTAGTAAAAAATCATTTAATTTTATTACAAGGTAGTTTAATTTAACCTTTAGTCTTCATTTTCAATATATACAATTTCTTATTTACATTTTCAAAGCCTATGTACATAGGATATAAATGAGTTCTGGCAGCTAAAAACAGCTGTAGGGCCCCATTTTAGTCTATTCCCAATTTAAAAATTTATATTAAATAAATAAATGCAAAGCCTCATACCAGGAAAAAGGGCAGGTGTCACTTAGGTGCCAATTTCATCAAACAGGCACAAGCAATGTCACCCTCAAGTATCGGACAATCCTTTCCCAAGCTGAATCTGAAGAACACAGCTTGCAACCAACATCCTGAACTTATGAATCTCTTCAAAGCTATCCGGTTGGAGAGTTATGCAGATATTCCAATTATGCTTTCATTATCCCCAAAGGTTTTACTCCTTAAGTCTCTCTTTTGAAAATGTCCCCAGTGCCAGAAAAGATAATGTCTCATTGTACTTTACATTCACACAAAGTTCCAAATGATTTTTCGCTGTTACTAAAACATTCAACATTAAAAAGATACTTTCTACCACTGAATATATTCAAATGATCATTTTATCACTTCTGAACATATAGTCCTGCCTCAGAACTGTGGGGTACTGTGTTCTGCAGCAAATAGAGAGACATCTCCCAAAGAGGAGATACTGTTATGGTCACTGAACCATAAGTTTAGGTAGGTGGCTACTCTTGGGATATCATATTGTATGCCAATTTTAAGAGGGTCAAAATTCCTATGAATATATAATCTGGCATATTTATTAAAAGAAGGTAGTCTCATTACTTTAGTTACCCCTTGCGATTAGAAAATGAGGACAAATGCCAATGAGCTCACTGTATCATGAGACAAGTGAAGTTCAGGGAACTGAATTCTCATTTGTATTTCTATCATTGACTTGAAAGGCAGTGCCATTTACCTTCATTCTCTGTTCCTTCTCCTTCTATCACATGAAGTCCAGGTTTTCATGGTCCATTTATTTTTACATAAGTATCTTCCCCTAATCCTTTAATGCCAACAATTTTTTTTTTTTGTATTGTCATGGTTAATTTTAAAGCCACATGAATATTTTTCCATGTGTTAGTTAATTTTCAGATTAGGTTAGCTAGAGGATACTCTCTGGATTATAATTAAAATACGTTTAAAAAATCTAATCACTGAAACTAAGGTCAATTCTATTATTTTCTGGAAAAAACCTAAGTGAAATTAGCAGACTTGATCACAGGAAGTTCAGTGAATTATCTTTTCTAAATAAGAAAGCAACTCTTTAAAATTTCCAAGAGACAATGTACTTCAAAGCATTGTGTTAAATTTCGACACTGCTGTTCCTCCATGTTTTGGTTTAAAAACGAAAACCAAGAACTTACTGATCTGAGTTTGGGGGGTGCATAGGTAAAAAAGTCCAAGAATACTTTATGCACTAATGAGTGCTTAATCACAGCTTCCCTGAAAAACAGAAAAAAACAAAAAAACCCACATCAGATCTGGCACTATAGTCATACAGAGACAGGTAATCTCAGAGGTTCTAAAATAATCTAAACAAGTGAAACAGTTCTACTGAATATAATTTGTCATAAGATAGACTGTATCTTTCAGCAATACTAAGATTTAAAAGAAAAAATTAGGCTGTAAAAGTGATTTAGTGCCATCTACAACCAAGACCAGAGTACTAATCCCTAGTATCTAACCAGCAAAGATGAATTTATCGTTCAAAATGTGCTCCTCTCTCTTAAATAAGGACATCCTTATTTTTTTTTCTCCAGCACTGGACGCATGATTGGAAATCCACATGTGGACCTGTTCTTTGTATAGCTGTTTTCTTTCTGTCAAGCACCCTTCACAATGCACCACGTTCATGGAATAATTTTAGCAGAATTAATATCTGAATGGACCAAAACAGTGTTAGCAATTGCAATGACACCTACTTAATCCAAGCCTAGAATGAACTTGGTGAACCCAGGTGTACAGTGCAGGCTGATGGCCGGGCATCAAAGAACTAAAGTTTACGTGGAGTATCCAAGTAGACAGTCAAAACTAATAGGCAAACTTTATGGGTAAAGCACTGTTCTGAGTGTTTTGGAACTATTAACACACTTAATCTTCACAAAACCTTATTAAGTCTGTACCATTATTAACCCAATTTTACAGATATGGAAACTGAGGCACAGAGAGGTTAAGCTGTCAAAGGTTACATAGTAAACTGGGAAAGAGGCACGAGGAGTCACACCCAGCCAGTCTGGTCCCAACCATTTCCCTGTGGTACAAATGCCAAAAAGGCCACATGCACAGACTTCTAAGTCTTACACTCCAATCTAAATAACAGATTATATTTGTGAAACCATTTAATATACGGATTCAACATAGCATTTTATTTGGGGAAAGAATGTTTCACTGCTTATAAAAAGTTTATAAACCACTATTGTATGTTATCACTTTACAAGATACAACATCAGAAACAAAAGATCTCCTTTTGCACCAAGAATGGTTTCGAATAATAAATCTTACACTCTTATTTAGGACAGATTAATAACAGTAAGGTGAAAATAACCATCTTTTCTGGGCAAGGGTTATGTAAAACTTCCCTCCTTCAAATGCCATTTGTTAAGAAAAAACAAAAACATCTTTCTTACTTTTGGGCCATTGGAGTTAGAATCTGTTTCATTTCATCCATAATAAGCTCTAATTTTTCTGGCTGTACCTCTAACACTTTGTCCAGAGTTGGGTGATCTGCTGTCTGCAAAAGAAAAATCAAACCTCTCTAAATTTAATCAATCTCTTCACGTCAGAAGAAAAGCAATCATAGCCATTTTAAATAGGCTTCAATAAATTTAAGATTTCCCATATTTACATAACAAAGCCCCACTATATATGCACTCACAAAATAATTCCTGATTATCTGATTCTCAGTCTATACATTTACCAATGCATCTAAAGAGCCAGGCTAAATAACAACCAAGTCAACCAGCCAACAGGTACTTGCCAAGTATCTAGCATGCGCCTAATCATAAGATCAAGTTCAGAAATTCTTGCTACCATGTCCTTTGTAATAACTGGATATTTCTATGGTGAATTGTTAACAAAAGAAGTTCAGCAACAAATTGAACTCAGGAACTGAACCTGACAAATGGAGGCAACCCAGGAAACAATCCATATACCCTCAGACAAATGTGTGCACTTATGCCCCAGGGTTTGAAATAGATCCCTTAACTGTCCTCATCCCAGTACTGGCTCTTCCAGATTCAATGCCTGTATTCTATCCAAGGCTGGGTCTCTCTATTCTCCTTCCTCTTTGGATGCAATCTGGAGAAGGGAATGCACACACACGAAGAAGTAGGGAGAAGGTAGCAACAGAAAGTGCAATGCACTTCAGCCAGAGCTAGCTAGGGGGTGCTGCCAAGGCTTTGCTAACTACCAGCAATCTTCTCCCTCAGCCTGATTGTAGAAATAGAAGTATGGAAACACTACACACAGAGCACGCTGGGAGGGAGTAACAAAAGTAGTTCAATTTGAAGGGGATTTAAAGCCACGCTCTGTGAGAAAGAGGAACATAAGTATGACCACTTGCTCACTACATCAGAGACAAAACAATCTGAGAGAATAAAGGGTATAAGACTGTCTCTATAAGCCAAAGTAAACATTCTAAAAACAGGACGCTGGAAGTTAAGGAAAAGCATATAGAAAAAACTTCTGGAAGTGTCACCTTGTACAGCTGAAATGTGTTCCCGTAGAGCTCCTCTGTCAGCATGTTCCTCTGCTCTAAAATGGCTTTGTCATTGTATGCATACTCCACGATGGCCGAGGCTTCTGCATGCCGCAGCAACTTCCTCACGTGGCCTTTAAAACTTCTGATTATCTCTGCGATCTGTGGTTTACTCCTAAACCCAACAAGATCGTGGAAAAAATAAATGACGGAGGGAGAAAGCTGGGTGACAATAAAAAATAACTTCTCCAGAGGCCAACTCATCAGTATGTGTGTGTGGGGGTCTCTCACAGAGAAATGCTTATGAGTAGGAAAATCGAATTGCCTTGCATTTCTACCTCAAGCTTTAAGTGACTCAGAAGCCGGCCTGCTTAGGTTCGAAACTTGGCTCTGCTTACCAGCTGAAAAGACCCTGAGCAATTTATTTAATCTCTGTGCCTCAGCTTCTTCATTTATAAAATAAAAACAAGGTTGCTGTGAGGACTAAATGAGCTAAGATGCACCAAGAACCGTGACCAGCACATAGTAAGTGACCCCAAAAATGTCATTTCCTATTAAACTGTTCAGCTTGAAAAAAGGCAGGGTAGGAGAAAAGAGAAAAGAAAAGAAAAGATGCAGGGAAATAATAAATTATATTCTAGGATTCTCTTTGAAAACAGGACTTAATCAAAAGCATTTATACTATATTCTAAAATAATCAAGCAGCTGATAATTATAGCCAGGAATATATTTAAAAAAAATTCATCAACTGCATGTTACTCTTTTTTGTTGTTGCTTATCATATTTGGGCACATTATTACACTCTAAAAGATTGGTCAAGTACTAATTCTATTTCATTTAGGAAATCCTTCCATGTTGACATTTTCTAACCCATTGATCCTACCTCAATCTACTCACTTGCCCCTCCTAACTCTCTATCCTCCAAATAGTGGTGACTAATTACATGTTAATTATTCCCTTTCTCTTCTACCAGAACTTCAAGATATAAAATGTGCCCATAAGAATGGTGAAGGCAGTACCATACTTTTACACTAATTTCAATAAATTGTTCTTAAGGTGCTATTCCCCCAGAAACATCACAAACATCTGCTGAGAGCTATTACTAGGACCACAGATTTTTGAGCACAGTCAGAATCTATGCCTTCAAAAAAAGAAGAAAAAATGTATTTCATAATATAAATAAAAACAACTTACCCATACATGAGAAATTTCTTAACAATGTTTCTGGAATATTTGGCTTTACTTAATTCAACCAAATCATCTGAAAAACAAAAACACAGTACAATGATTTGATATCCTCATGTCAGTTCTCTGGAAACAAAGGGAAGAAAGGACTAAATAAAGGCATAATTCTAGAAACACAAATTAACTCTCTATTTGTCCCAGGTAAAGAACAAATAAAAACAAAAATCATCCTGCAGAAGACACATCTCAACTAAATTTTCTAGGACAGTCTTGGGTCAAGAGAAAACAAGTGACTCACTACAAATAACAACTAATCTTCGATATATAACAGATACCTCGCAATTCTTCAAAAGCCTGTTTTTTCTGTTCTTCGTTACCGTACTGAATGTAACACTGGATCACGCGAGTTGAATCATGAGCAAACGCAATCTGAAGGAAAAAGTGTGAGCCATGAGACTAATTCTCTTCTGAAGAGTCATGCTTCTTATTATTTGTTTCATTGCAACCTCTTTTAGCACTCCTCGTTAGAAAAATGGTAGACTCTTCACCAATAAAATCAAATCTAGACTACTTGGGAGTAGAAATACTTGTTTTAACTGTACGTAACATTACTCCTTGGTTTTACTGCCTACCATATTTGATAGGTACAATTAATAATGACATTGAGGCAGGGACAGATTTAACTATTTTGCAAGATTCCTATCTTTGTAATTAAAGCCAAACCAAACTAAAACCATCTAATGAACACATGGACCATACTTCTCATTTCTCTGGAAGTTACCTTTTCTAAAAGAGAAATACTCTAGTTTAAAAAGTCTATTACTCTATGATTTTTACATAAGTGATCTAAAAATATTTGGCTTTGGTAACCAAAGGTATAGATATGAGATCTAAAAGTCTTGCTACACAAATATAACTCTATACATACACATTGGCAATCATCCATTTCTAATATTTTCATTATAACCCCTGTACATATATTCAGTTATATTTCTGGAGGAGGTACTGTATTTCAAATCTGATCTTCCAACCCATCTCCCTCACTACTGGAAGGACCCACTGATCAATTTTCTAGAGCAACACCCACAAATCATGCCATGCAAAATTATTTTTACTATGCTACAGTACCAGTCTACTTTAAGAACAATTATTCATTGCTTACTGTCTTTAAAATTGTTTAATTCCAACAAATTAGAAGGTGACAGTATGCCTCCATCAAAGTTGTGGATTTCAGAAGAACTTAAGGGAGACTTGTAAGACATGTTTGATAAACTCTTTTAAAAAATAAGGCTGTTTTGTGCATATACTGAGTACCTACTATATAACCAATGTATGTGCTTTAAATATATTTTTCTTATTTAGAACTCAAAGCAACTATAAGAATGAGCTGTTATTATTCCCACTTTCAGATGAGAAAAGTAAGGTTATGAGAAGCAACTAGTTACCCCTGACTCTGAGGAAAAACTTAACTTCTCCAAGCCCCAGATACATCAAATGTACAACAGGGATGATGACATCAGTTAAATGAGACAACATATGCACCGGTTAGCACAATTCCAAACACACAGTAAATAATCAACAAATAGGTTATCATTATTGTCAAAAAGCACAAATATTTTAAGGTGCACAGTCAGAATGTGAACACCAAACTAATTCCCAAGTCCATGGTTATGCAGCAGTGACATAAAGCTAGTCAGGAAAGAATCTTGAGTGTGAAACATTTACAGATTGAAAACAGACTATTGCTAGAGCTGATAGCAATTCTAGCCCAAAGGGGCAATTCTAGCCCAAAAGGATCTTACTGAATTTATAAGAAAGAAACAGCTGAGGACTTGCTATTTCAAGACATTCCCTCAAACTGCAATATAGCATCTGGTTCATCCGATGCATATGGTTTGGCAAAGGCTGCCCCTGCAGGGGCCCCGAAACTGGAATCTGTTGTTGGCAATTTAGAACATACTAAATCACGTGGAGTTCAGAGCAAGGCATTAAACAAATACTACTGAACTAATAAACTCCCCAAGATAACGTTAAGAGAACACTGACTTATTTGAAGTAAATTATTAAAAAATGACACAGCTAACTGACAGTCTTTGCACAGTAGTAAGGCCCCTCACCATTAAATGTCTATTTGGTCAGTGTTATGAAAGCTTTTGAAGTTTTTGGCCAAATACCCTGGAAACAACAAGTTCACCTCTCATGAATGGTCAACTTCCTTCACTGAGAGTGAGGCAATTTCGAATTATTTAAAATTGCAACAATGAGTATGCCCTACTTACGGTTTTAATTTTCCCTTGAATCAACTTCTGCAAGTCACTGATTAACTTTACTCTTTTCTCTTTGTCACAGTCTTTTCTACAAACGAGAAAAGAGGGAGGCAACAACACAGTTGAAGAAGTTATTTTAAACACACAGAACTAAAAACCCTACCGGTATATGTTCACCTGGTTCAGCATGATTTTCTTTTCGAAGGCAGCAAACCCCTGCCATTAAAATTACTATTCCAGAGCAGCCAGACAAAAGTAATTTTCTCAAAGGCAGAAACTCATCTCACAAGGTATAATTTTATGCATCAATCCAAATCTTAACAGCCAGAAACTTCAGAAGTACAGAAAATAATAAAACAAGTCTAAGATACCAAATACTTAAGTATCTCAAAACCTAGAAATTGCCCTTCATTTTCTCAAAATCTCTCAGGAAGAATGTCAAATGTATTTTAACCTCATACATTTTCATAAGCATATCTGACGCCATCCTAATGATTCCACACATTTCTGCAATGGGCAGGTATCTTAGTACTGATGCCCACACCAGGGTGTTATGAGTACTGCCTAAATAACCCAAGTGCTATGTCATCTATTTTAGGACATTTCACTATTTAAAGGTACACTGTTCCTTTTCCATTGTCTCAAAGGGACTAATAAAGACACCATTGGGTAGTATTACCTTCTTAAAATCTCCCAAATCTGCTTTGCTCGAACGACAACGTCATAGTTGGTTTTATCACTGAGTTGCCTGCTCTGCTTTAGTTCCTTCTTCTTCTTTTTGAAGTCATCCCACTTGGGTTTCTTGGCTGCTGATTCTAGTTATTACAGAAATTATTTTCAATTACATTTAACATTCTAAGTGCCATAAACAAATATAAATTAGGCACAAAGGGCAATCACTAACCAGCATCAATACTCATTGTGGAAGCTAGAAGGGAGAAAATATCATTCCCTATAGACTTCCATTTTACTTTATTTTCTGAGCAGTTTGTACATTTCAAATTTGCTTAAAACCAATCACTCATTTAACTGCTCGTTATTAATTCTTAGCAGAATACCTATCAAGAAATTAAGGACATTAAAAGGATTACAAAAGCTACTGAAACATTTTAAGTATTTTTTTCAATTGTAAAATAAAATTCTACTTTAGAACACTAAGATTATTGGATTTTAGGTATAATCAGTTTTCAATGAAAAAAAATTAGTCCAAATTAAAACAGGAAAAACATTTCAAAAGTTCACTGTTCTGAGTGCTACTGTGTGTTAAGTCATTTAATTCTTACAACAACCCTATGGGTGGGTACTATTATTATCTCCCCTTTCGCACTGGGGAAACAAAGGCACCAAGAAGTTAAGTCTTTGTCTGAGTTCACATAACCAGGAGTGGTAGAGCCAGGATTCAAGATGCAAATCCAGAAATGACCCTTTGCTGTCTCTTACTCATAACAGTGCACAACCAAAATTTCCAAGTTCTCTTGCACAGTGAAGCTATAAAAGTTGAGTATCTTTCTATCACTATTTTTTTGTCCTCAAAATCCAAGTAACTTACCAATTGAGCCCATAAGGCCAAACAAAGAACAACTTAATAAAATGGGTTTTATTTACATGAGTATCCTGCAGGAAACATTTTGGCAAATTAGTTATTTCTAAATATCTCCCTTTCTCTGATTATAAAAACTTGGAAAAATGCAAAAAAAAAAATAAAAATTTCCCCTATAAAATCAAAACCTAGCCATAACCACCGATTATTTCCTTCTTGTCCTTTCCCCATGCATCTTTAAAAATGCAGAATCTGTATTTTAACATTGTATTTTGTTTGCTCATGAAAATAATGTTCTCTAAGAACATAATTTTTAATGGCTATAAAATATACAACGTATACTATGCTACTACAACACATTTAATTGTTCCCCTTGTTATTTCTTTGTTTGTTCCCTGCCTGGTAATACAGAGGATCATAGGCAATGGAGGACATATTTACCATTAATATTAGGGCATCCTCTATTATACAGAAGAGGACAATAACTGAGTCAGAGCTAACTTAACTTCACAAACATTTGAGCATCTTGAATATGTCATGCTGGGTTGCAGCAGATATAATATATCAATTTTGGGGTTGTCTAGTATCTAATTTCTCTCAGCTACTGGTTAAAAAAAAAAAGAGAGAAAGAGAAAATAAAATCAAGAGTTCCATTTTGCAATGTTAGGAATGTACCTCCCATAGCAAAATATTAGGAACACATCTTCCATAGCAAAAAAAAAATCAGGGCTGTTGCATGACAGGATCTTAACGTGACAATGAATGTATCTGTGTTTAAAAGGCAGATATCGAGAACTCCAGCAGGGAAAACAAGATTTGGTATCTATTAGAGAGAGTAAGAAAGAGAAGCTAGAAGAGAAACTATGGGGTGGAGTGATGAGGGAGGAAGAAAAAATTCAGAGAAAAGATGAGGACTGGAGCATGAAAGATGCTGCAGGCCTAATGAGATCCTTCCTCTCTCCCCACCTCCCTGCCCTAAGGCTGTTGACCTCTAGTGAACCCCTCAGGCAGAGTGAGGAGCAAGAACCAGGGCTAGGGGACTGGACCGAGAAGACCCCAGGCAGTGGTCTCAGGGGGCAGCAAGGAGTAGTATTAGGACACGCTGTGTTGGAGAAAAAGAGAATGAAAGAACCAGAGAAATTCTCAGGATGTTGCAGAGAAGGTAAATGTACCTCAGTACATGTCACCTGGAGATGGCTTGGTTGAGACCAGTGTGGAACAATGCGTAACAGGGGCATGCTGCACAACGGAGAGCAAAGCTCTGGGTGAGAAATGACCCATCAAACATCGTGATGAAGAGATTAGCAGTTTGTTTCAACAGACAAATAGGATCCCTGACAACACTGCCAATCAGGGAGCAACTTGTTCTGAACCAATTAAAATCAAATCTGCCATGTGTGCACTATACCTTCTCTGGAACTGCTACTGGATCTGAGCAATCTGTAGGTTGGTTGTGTTAGATTGGACTATAAGCTCTGTCAGGGCAGGGTCTATATAAATCTCTTGTTTATTAAGACATCCTTAGCCAAGGTTGACACTTACCTAGGACACAATAGTTCTTTAAAGCTGGCTTCTGTGACGATTAATTGGGGCCTACATCCTTACTGATTGCTATTTTTTTTTTTGGCCCTATCTTGAGGACAATACATAGAAAACTCAAATCTTTGTTGAAAAATGAATTAATAAATTAATTTTAGCCTACAAAAAGGAATGTTTTATTGATGCTCCACTGTGTGAAGCCATTACAATTTAGCTTAACTCCACGGCTATGGTAATTAAGAAAAGGTCTAAGAAATATGGAACTCTAGGCCGGGCGCGGTGGCTCATCCCTGTAATCCTAGCACTCTGGCAGGCTGAGGCGGGAGGATTGCTTGAGCTCAGGAGTTCAAGACCAGCCTGAGCAAGAGCAAG